GGGAACAACCCTCATTTCCCAACTTTTAAGTTGGGAAATCCTCTCCATTTTCTCTCTTCTCTCTCCTCTTTTCTTTTTTTATATTTTGGTTGAGAGCTTATGAATCAAGTTTTCCGGCGAATTTCCGGCGACATTGTTTCGAGTAAAGTTTCGAGCTTTTGATTCCGTTTCTCTTTGCAAGTGCGTGTAAGAGTGGGTACTTAGTCTTAAGCCCCATTACTTCGTATATCTTTTTTTTGCTTTTGTGAAAATTGATATTGTGCTTGTATTGCTTGGAGGCAAAGATTGAATCTTTGGATCGAGAATGCTTGACTAAGTGTGATTAGGAGTTAAATGTTTGCTCGTTTTGTGCTAGAGTTTGATTTAGTTTCCTAGGCTTTTAGCTAGCATGACAATGTTCGGTTATTTGTGTGTGTTTGATCATAGAGACTCCGGTGAACCAAAATCCCTCTTTCCCCCTTGATTTCTCTCATGTTCTTGCGTGTTTAGTTAATTGTTTTCAATTGCTCTCATTTCGTAGATTAATTTAGCTTAAATTCAAACCCACAAATTGCGAGTAGAATGTTTAGGACCTTTTTGGTTGTGTGACTTTGACGACTAGGTAGTGAACGAAGCTCCGAACAGCCTTCCTTTGAGAACGACCCGAGTCGGTAGCTCGGTTACCACATGCCCAAAAATACTACAAACAATTATCGACAATATATTGTGTAAATAACTATGAAGTGTGTTACCAAAATATAATATTTTAAATGATTTGTTATCAAAATTCGAGATTTGTTATCACAATCAGATCAAATTTGTTAACAAAATCCGAGATTTGTTATCAAAATAAGATCAAATTTGTTACCAAAATCCGAGATTTGTTAAAAAAAAAAACCCGATCAAATTTGTTACCAAAATCCAATTAAATTGGTTGACATTAATTTTTTTATTTTGAAGATTATGTGCCTTATCAAAGTGACATAATGTTTACCAAAGTTAATGGAGTTTGTTACAATTTAATTTGGTAAGGATTTTTGGATTGATTTAAAAATAATATTTTTATTTTGATATGTATCATTATCAAATCTCGAATTTTTTTTTTGCAATATTTAACTCCAAACAATCCGAAAAAATTGTGAAATTTGTCCAAAATAGTAGGTCAAATTATGGTCAATGTCGGATTTGCATTAAATATTTTCCAAAACTGATAAGTTTTTTTCCTCTTCACACTTCTCATTAATTATGTCCTTTTCACACTTATCATTAATTATGTCATTTTCACACTTCTCATTAATTATGTCATTTTCACACATCTAATTAATTCATTAATTACGACATAATTATCATAAATCATTCCATCTGAGCTTTTATCGTTTTCACCGTGTGACCAAATGGTGTTCGTTCAGTGGGATGGAGAACATGATCCGAAGGTCTTCGAGCTCAAAATGGAACCATCCAAAACATTGGATGCATATCGATCCATAAGCCATCCGGGCACTTTGTCATTTAAAAATCATATGAGAAGTTGAGACCACCGTCCTTCGGCTCCGAGTAAAGGCCAAAATGTTTGCATCTCGGAGGGATAATAACCGTGAATTCACAAATACTCGACGAATACACAAGTTTGCTCGAAAGCTCAAAAATCGGGCCTCGAGTCCGTCAATGATACATCCCATAAGCCTCCGCACGACCAACTTATCAATCAACGGCCTCTTTGGTGAATAATGTCCGATTATTTCCATAACAAGCATACGAATCAACGAGCGACTCTGGGAACTACTTTCAACAAGAAACCGGTACGTCCGGCAAGACATGCCCAGCACAACTGAAAAATCACCTCAATCGCTCAATTCGACTTACCAAAGCCACTACTCCGGCAAGAGTAGTGTTCCACATCATCCCCAACAACCAATAGCAAGAAAAATCGAACGCTAGATGTGTACCTTGAAGCTCGCCGGAAAATATGGTGCCAGAATGTGGGAAAAGAGAGGTAAGCATGGCTCGGAGCTCCGGTTGCCAGAAAATAAACCTTCCATAAAGAATCGTGTTTTGTGTATTTTTGCTCTCGTTGTGCGTTTTGTGTTTTGTCCGTATTTTCTCGTCTCTTTTGGTGTTGAATAGGTCCAGAGATTGACGAGAAAGATGACGATGTAAGCATAACAGCTCCGTCCACCTCGAGGTAGGTTTTTTTTACTCGCCGCGCAACTCGAGGCATATGCCGATGAAAAGTTGCATCTCGACATCCAGCAGGCTTAAGAGATAAGGATGAATTTTAAAGGGATAAGATAGAATCTTAAGATGACTTGGATCTGACTAGGAAGTGATTAAGATATGAATAAGCATCAAAGATCGGAGTAGTCGGGCAGGTATTTTCCCTATAAAATGGGTCGACGTATCACCAAATCACAACTTTACATTCTCTATACAACTTTCATTATCTTTCTGATACTGACGTAAGCATCGGAGGCTCTACGATGGAAACCCCTCCGGTGTTGAATTCTGCAAGTTATTCCCGACAGTTCAGACATATCGGCGTTCATTTCAACCTGTTCATTCAATCCAGATCCAAGAGAGGACCCAGAGTTTATTCAGGATAAACGTTATACATTGTTTTTCTAATTTTGTTCATTGGTCTTTAATCTAATGAAATTGATTAAAAAACTAATAATAAAGGAATGAACTGGGTCCATGCGGGCGTAATGCAGATTAAATTAGAGAGATTGTACCGTAAGGCAACTAATATATATATATATATATATACACACCACATTTACCTTGTGCATAACAACAACAATAATAATAATAAATACAACTTCTGATTGCAATAAATAGAGGACATATGTTAGTGAATGCCTCATAAATATCCAAGAATGATTAAACAATAATAGGGAATTATACCTTATTGTAAATTCTCTTTATGCTATAGGAAAAGTAAACCCAAAATGAATAACAAGTATAGCAAACGTGTACATCAAAAGACAACGCTCTAAATAGTCTATCTTGTTGTGTTCCCACTTCCATCCAGTACTTACATATTGTTCGTATAAAGTTGCTATATATATGAACATACAAAAGCAATGACTCGGTAGAATTTGCGCTGAAAACTACTAAAGTTGATCCTACGTGTAGCAGTCTTGGTACAATATCTGTCCCAAAAAAAAAATAAACAAGTAAATAAATCACTATAATTTACCATTAATTTATTTGTGAAAGAAGGTTAGTCTTCAATATTTTAGCAGGGAAGATAATAGATATGTGGAATCAAAATAAATTGTACAAAATAGACTTCTCTAAAATTTTTAATTGTTTGTTTTTATTAAATAAATTTTCAAATAACTAATTTATTCATGTCAATTTTAATTTAGTAATATTTTCAAATGGATTTTTGTTTTGAAAACATCATTTAATAATGGCTTCCAAACAACTCCAAATTTGTTCTGCGTTTGTCTTTTTCAGTTCTTTTGCTCAAAAAGATTAAAAAACTTAATTAATTTTGAGGGGAAACGTAAAGGGAATGAATTTTTTTGAGTATTTACCTTCCACATATCATCAACTCTTAACCATACGGTTTGCGGCATTTATCGACTTCCCCATGATATGAGCTTTCCTTGCTTTGTTCATTCTGTGTTTGAAAATGGATTTATTGTTTACATAATTCTTTCAGATAAAAAGTATCCGTGGATAGAAAATCAAATTCCAGATAAAAATACCTCACACTATTGATTTAATTGGAAAAAAAAAAAAAAAGAAGAAGAATATTATGAGCTTCTAAAAACACTGGAGTTAATTACCTATGCAATCGCTTTTCCAAAAATCTGGCCAGAGTTGCCCTTCGAGCCATAGCCACTGTCGGAGTATAACCTGCTTTGTTCACCATATAATTTAAACAGTACCCATATTATTCGTTAATACATTAGCATCCTAAATGACATGTTTTTTATTACTAGTATCCAATTTTGTGCAATGCACCAATGTATTATAAGTCATATGGATGAGTATTATATATGAAATTAGATAATAGCATATTACATATTTTATAAATTTTAGCATTAATAAAAATAAATAATATAATTATAAAATATTTTATTTATATATGGATCATATAGATTCTACAAAATTTAATTCAGAATGTAAATTTTATAAATTTAAGGTGTCATGACCAATTATTTAATTACAAAAATATTAAATTATTATTATTTTAGTGATTATTTACGCAATTTTAAGAGGTTTGCTATGTCATTAAAATTAATTAGATATTTAAAAATTCTTCATGTGAACAAAACAAAAATATAATATTAATATTAAAATAAGTACCTTGAAGAAACAAAAATGATGTAGATTTTTACAAGTGTGTAACTTCCGTAAACCTTTTAGTGTGAATGCAAAGGAGTTATATTATTAATAATTATTATATGATATAATAATTAAAAATATTATTACACGTAATTAAAGAAACTATGTAAAGGTTCGTTTTCATATTTAAAAGTAAAATGAGCGGAAAAATTTAGTGATGGTATTAATTAAATTTCC